CATGATTGATGAGAACTTCCTGGAGAAGATTATCCCACCTTGGCCGTTTGGGTGATTCCCTAATACAAAGTCAAAGGAGTCAAGTGTGCTTGGCTTGAGGCACGAGTTCAAAAGCAAGTCAGTTGGCGTCTACTTCGTCAAATTAGCTGACTGGCTTACACCCAATGGTTAGGACTAAGAGCCCACGAACCGAGCCAGCTAGCCTTCGGCGGTTGCTAAGGCCAGCCGAGTGAAGGAAGGGATGACATGCAATTTGGCCAAATATATACGCTCTCCCTGGAACTAACACGGAAGTGGAAAACCACCTGTTTGTAGTGGAAAATTGTCTTCCAAGGGGCCATTCTCCACTTCCATTTACTTGAAGGGATGCCACCAGCCGTCGCTACCGAGTGTCATGTTGGTTCTTCGATGTTCTTTGAAGCAGCCAGGCTGCTTCAGGGTGAACCTGGTATGCCCAAGTCTCTATCGAGTCTCTTTTCTGTCACCCTGTCGCTACCCTGTGGCTCTTTCAGCCACCGGAGCCAATTTCATGCCGCCTACCGCCGCCCATCGCACGCTCTTCACGTGTTTCACACGTTTCGCGCGCGCGTTTCCGCAGTAGGCTCTGAAGCGAGCGCCACGCCTTCGCAGCGAACTCGAGCCGCGTCTGAGAGGTGGAGAAGGAGTTCTGGAAGAGCCGCGCATCTCGGGGGTGCCCCGGCGCGGCGCGCATCGCCTGGCTACAGTCCTGCGGAGGACGTGGAAGGAGGTCCGGGTCGCTTTTTGTGCGGAGATTCCGGGGCTGCGGAGATGTTGGTAGAATGCCTTTCCACCTAGTGCAGGGAAAGTTCCTCTGGAAGCTGGTGACAAGAAGCTTTGCATCAAAACCCTCCAAAGGACACCCCTATGTCTGACCTCTAACATGGACAATGAGTCTTGATGATGTGAAGTGGATGCTTTTGAGGCAACGTGTTTTGTTCATCAACTAACTCCACACTACAAAGTGCCATTGAAGTCGGCGTGCCTGAAACCAATTTTTGGCCTCCGACATGCGACCCAACCTGGCAGGACCGGCGTTCGGGACAGGGCAAACATCCCGTTGGGAGCGGGCCTGGGACCGTTCTTGTCCTGGGCACCCTAACGCTTCAAAAGCCACCAACCAAATCAAGCTAGGACCCAAGCTGACCAAAAAAATGGCAAGAGATTGGACTTTAAGCTGCAAAGCACTCTTTCCAGCCCTGATGACAGGATTGTTGACTTTTGGGCTTGTGGACAAAGGAGTCAGGGAGCCTCCTGGGCTTGTTGTGCCCTTTGAGGATGGTCTCTAAACGATCCATTGACGAGACTCCAAATGTGAGCAGTGTCCTCTACCTTTTACATCCTTCGAGTGTGGACGTCATCATCTGTCGAATGTTTGGTACTTACATGTTGAACCTTCCTTCCCGTGCACTGCTTATGACACCCTGCACCTGAAGCTCATGGCACCCAGCTGCTGCAACAGCACACAGCGTTCCCATTCGTTGTTGTTCTTCAGCAGCTCCAAGGACTGGTGTCGGACAGTTCTGGTCGGTGAAGCACGACCTTCCTAGGGACCACCCTCTGAGATCCCCTTGTGGTTGCCCTTGGCCACTCCAGGACCTCAAAGCCTCAAAGCCATTGAACACAACATCAAACAAACCCAACCAGGACCAGGCATATTAATTCCGACGGGACCAACCGGCAGGAATGCAAGGACTTGACCCGCCTCAAACATATCTAAGCATGCAAGCCATTTCCGTAGAAGGTGCAATGGATGTCACTGCTTAACCCGCCCAGCACACCAAAAAGAAACACCACCTCACCACCTTCACCTATCACGATTTGTTTGTTTTGTTGGCATTGATCTTCCTGACATATTTACGACCAAGCAGGGGGGGTACTTATCTGAATTTCAAGATGCGCGGTGAACGTAGAGCTTGTTCATCACACCATTTCAGTGGTCTTTCACTCAAGCATTTTCTTGTTTGACTCGGCTGTTGATACAGATCAACCATTTTGAGCAACAAAGTAAAATTATATATTATGAAGAAAACCATTATTCCTCAATCACTCTCCTCGGAGAATTACTACTAAAAAGAAACAGTACATCCCTACATCCCAGCCAGCCTCAATTTAAAACAGGTTCGACAATTGAATCCCATCCGAGGTTTCTCTCCCGCTCAAGGTTGTTGCCCGTGACACACGTTTCAAGACTGCAAGCACCTTCTTGTAGCTCGCCAATGCCCCAAGGCCCAGTTTGGGTTTCTCCTCTAGGGCCATGCCCAGCAGCACAAAGGTGGAGGCCGGCGCCACAACCTGCGCGGCCTCCTGCGGTGGCCATGGCAAAGAGAAACAGGAACAGATGTGGAGTTTGTGACATGATGAAGGAGCGACGAATAGAAAATATGGTAAAACTTGAGAGAGGAGGGGGTGAACGAAAGGTAGCAGGCAATCACAAGTAACCCTGGTAGAAGCCCATGACGGCGTGAACCGGCGCAGGGGGGATTTGATCCGGGGGGGGGGGGGCCCCCCCCGACGAACAGAATCAACTCTTACAGGACCAAATTCAATGCACAATCCCAACTCCTGATTGTAATACATTTTTGCTAAAGCAAGGAGAACTCAGGTAGCTCAAGCTACCTTTCGCGATCAGATCACAACTGCTTCGTGCTTTCCTCTAGCGCATTGTCAACTACAGTCATTGAAACCAGTTTGAGTAATGCCAGATCAGGTCTACACAATTCTACACAAGCCTCGAATCTAGGAGTTTGTGCCATCTCCTCAGTTCAACCACTTCCACATTCCACTATCTCGGAAAACATAAGGCTCATCCTGGTCAACAAAAAAATTATGTGTACTGATGTGTACTGGTCGAAAACAACCACACCAAACATATCACGGGGCCCCAGAAGCAGCAAAATGTGCAGAAAACCCAGCGCATGAAGCAGTTGATGTTCCGTCAAGTGCATAGAAAAATGCACAAAAAACAGCCCTCCCTGCAGGAAGCTGCGGTGTCCACGCGCAGAAAAACCAACGGTCGGGCTAATACATGTACAGCCGCACTCATTGCAACACGCCAAGGCACCGAACCTTCTCAGTTCGATCTACCGACCCCATTGTCGCACATCCTTGCCCCATCTCCTCACTCGTCATAAGCATCTCCATCTGTGCGATGCCCCGCGCCACACTTTCCTCGTCCAGCTCTTTGGTTGCATCTTCCACCCCGGCGGACCTGGACGATGCCCGAGTCTCGTCCGCAGGTCTCAAGCCCGTCCCATGCCCGTGGTTCGCTTGGGTGTGCGGCTGCCAATGACCAATCGAGGGTCGCCCATCGAGGAGAACAAAGCAGGCCCAAGAATTCTCCTAAAGGAGATCTGGTGGACCTCACCTCCGAAGTAGTGTAGACTATGGAGACTGTTGAATAAAGTTAAAACCACATCTACATCACCATAATGGAGGTGCATCTTAACCAACTGAGTACACCACTACAAAGAAAATGCATGAAAATGAGTGAAATGATGGTTCTTGAGCAAACGGCGAGACTTCGCATACAGATTTGATACCAACGCAGGGTGTACACCTTATAAGCAACCAATGCAGCTCAGTATTCGAAGTAAGGTCATGAAAATTGTGGTTCTCGATTTTGTTTGTGGGTCCTCGGGTTGTGTGTTGTGGTTGTGTGTTGCGGTTGTGTGTTGTGGTTGTGTCTTTGTGGTCTGGCGTTTGGGGCTGGCGTTTGAGGACGACGCGGAGGACGAGGAGGAGGACGCCAGCTGACATACAATCTAACAACCCTCACCTGACAGGTGGGGAACAAAACACAAATTCATTGACAAACCACAGGAAACAAACACCGCAAGGTGTGTGAAACAACTGACGTCGTTCCGACAGTCTTCTTTTAATCTGGTGGAACGGGCCTTCTACGCGAGTGTCAATCAAGCATGAATCACACGCAACCACACTTGTGGAACTTAACGTAACTTATATAACTATATATAGTCGATTCGTTTTGGAATGTGCAAAACTTGACTAGTCGATTCATTTTGGAATGTGCAAACTCAAACCATAGAAACACTTCTGACAAAATGGTGTTGATAGTTCTTGTTCGATGCTAAACGCACAAACAAACCATTCCGAATCCAAAAGAACACATTAAATTAAATCCTACAAAACTGTCTGTAAATGAAAAACGGCAGTCTTGCTCAAAAGGCAACCAACATTGGAAACTGCATAATAATGACACGCTTTGGATCCAATGATCAAACACCACCAAGGAACAATGATTTTCCGGGTGGTTCTCCAACCCAAGAGAAGGATGACTTACTGTAGACATCTGTAGACTCACCCCGTGTCACCCGGTTTCTTTACCTCGAACCGTTTTGAAACCCCCGCCAAGCAGCTGCAGGAAAAGCTCCACGAGACGATCCGTGGACATGGCGTCGGTCCGACTCGCCGTGAGGCCACGAGGCTTGGCCGGGCCGGGGTTGGCCGGGCGTCTTGCCAACTGGAATGAAGGGATGAGACATGGTGAGACAGTGATACAAAAGAAACCAACTCAAAAATGTGAGACACCATGTTTAAGTCAGATGTTTCGTTGGATGTTGGATGATGCGCTCGTGTACTTGTCGATGTGTCAAGCTTCCACGTGTTTCAACAGTTGCAAGCATTTGGAGAAACAAACTGGCCTTTGTCGGAGGGCGCCGTTCCGTTCCCCTTCCAATGTGGGTCGGCGAGCACAGGAAAAGAATCCTGCCTTTTGCCTTGTTTCGATATATGTTCCTCTTAGTCTCTTAGCGCAAAGGACGCAACATCATGCCTCTTCACAAATGAACCTGCACATGCTCCACACAAAGGGACAAAGGATCAATAGAGACTGGTCAGGTGCACCTTTACATGCAAAATTATGTTCACATCATCTCCATGACAACTTTTCATCGCAGGAACCCTGTAAGCCAAGCTCTACCCATTGTAGTAGGCACCTAGCGGTGCCCCTTCGCAACGGCCTCCGCGGCACATTGGAGCTCCCCGATGGCCTTGGAAGCTAGGCCTGGGCCGCACGTCGTCAGGAGCCAAGCCCGGTACTGCTGGATTCTTTGGGGCAGGGAGCCCAGGCCGGTACTCCTCAAATATCAAATTATGACTCCAATTATGGTATCATTCATTGCCGTCAGTGGTCCCTTGACCACCTGATGTGCCAAGTCCCGATACTATGGGACAAGAGGTGTAGGAAGAGGTTCTCTTGGATGACGCTCTCAGGTCATATCGCACTGAAGACTCAATACGGTCCTCCTCGACGCGACGTGATCTCGGTGGCCCCGGGCTGCTGACAGCATCATCCGGATGCTCTAAGGCCTTCCGATGCAATCCGAAGGCTGTTTCAAAAGAGATGTGCCAACAAAGCTTGAAGGATGTTGAAGGACCCTATAGACAAGGGTCCTACCACATATCCTCCTTGGTGGATCTGACCCTCTGAGACACAGGGATGTGCAAATTAGAACTTCCATCGTGGTTCGGAACACAAAAGCAGTGGATGACAGTGGGTCCCTGGCAGTGCTGAAGTGCTGGAGGGAAAGACTCCTCCGTGCTGGTCATCAAATATACCGTTAAAACTTCAGCTCCAAGATGTATGGCCGGGTACATGCGACCAGGAGCCATCTGAGTGTGTCTGTGTGGGCAGTGAAGTGGCTATGGCATGCTATGGCCGCTCAAGCCCATTGCCATCATCCGAGCATCCGCTAGTGGCTGGGGATGCTGTTGGTGTCGCCACTGCAAAAAATGGATTGAACATTCAAATGTCCATAATGCCATGATTGCATACTTAGGTAGGGACATGAGATGAGATGATCTAATGGAAGGAACAAAACATGAGATATGATATAGATATAATATAATATCCAAGGTCCTGCTCCTGTATTTGACAGAATGGGTAAATTCTTGACGCGCAACCTCTGCAGTTCCCAACCTCCATGCAATGCTTGAAGCCATCGCTCTCGATGATTCGCCGGGCACCAGCCTAGGGCCGGCCATGCAACGAATAGTCACAATAGTCATGCGAGTTTTATGCTTGGCTTGAACAAGTGCGGGACTGGGACAACACACCCATGAACCCAGCAGTTGGGGTCAAACCAACAGAATCCAAAAGGTTTAAAAAACAACAAATAGTAAACAACTGTTGTCTTCCAAATGAAAACCTCTGAATCTGTCTCACTTGGATGGTCATCCTATGCCAGTTGGTGGCCAAACATGAGCACCGTAAAGCACCCACACCTATTTCTAACGATGAAAGACCAGCGACTACGGCATTTGTCACCCCTCACCTGAGATTTTCAGCTCCAACAACCCCATCAAACCAACCTTCTTCGCTCTGTTCAGACCTGTCGCCTGCCTGAGACCTGCGAGACACTCGAATTCTCATGCGAGGGGCCGGATTCTTATGCGCCATGGCCCGCAAAGCGCCACAGGCTTCACGAGCCACCTGCACGTGTGAACTGCACACGTTCGAGTCGTGGGAGGCGGTGGAGGTGGGATCCCTTTTGGGGGGAAGAGTTTTGTGAAGGCATGTGAGTCTATGTATATATATATATAATTCTTATTGCGGAGCTGGACCAAGAAACCATATGAGTAGCCACCTTCGACGGCTTGTGAGAGTGCATGTCCTGTTGTGGGATGAAGTTCTCCTGCGCAACCTGCGTTTCACGCGACCCGGTCGCACCCTGCGTGGCTCGGAGCGTCAAACACGCCGCCCCCGGTCCCTCCGGTCCATCTGCTCGACCGCACCTCCCAGTCCTCGGGGAAGTTCTGCATCGCTGAGAGCACCGACTCCACCCCGCCCAGGAAGACCAAGCGACGGCGGTTCCGGGCGGCCAACCTGAGCGGGCGGGCGGTTCCGACCGGTTTGTGCGAGCGAGAGAAGGGGCAGCAGTCCAAACAACACGGAGTCATGCAGTCTGAGAAGGATCTCGCCGGAAAAGCGATGGTGAATAGCATGGTTCATGAAGGCAGTGGTGGAAGCCAAAAATTATATACTGTAATATCCTGTCATGTCCTGTCCATGCAGCCTCTTCATGGAACGGTTCTGACTGCCGAAAATCGCGCAGTCCCTGCGGTGGTCCGGGTGCGCCCAGTGACCGATGACCGCCACACAGGAGCCGCAGCAGGCCGCAGCCTGCGGCCTGGAGCTCCGCATTGTTCCCGTGGAAGGCGATGGCCTGGCGGAATCAGCAAACATGGCAGCCACAAAATGTCCAAAAAGGTCACCACCTGCCACTTTTAAGTCTGCAAAAAGCCACCTTGTGGGAGACCTGTAGAATGCTGGGATGACTTCTGGAGACAGAATGCTCCATAGTCCCAAAGGCTTGAAGCGGGTCTGTCGGGAACGGAGTCCAGAGTGAGGAAAAGGTTGATTGATGTTGATCGGTTGATCCAAGTTTGCAAGGAGCCGGATGGAGATGTAGTTGGGATGTGGTGCCATCTTGCCATCTTGTAGAGAGCCTTTTTGGATCCTGGCCAAAACAAGGCCTTCTGTGTCACCCTTCATTCTTCGGCACATGATGTATTTTCAAGAGCACAGAACCCATCAACTGGCCATCCAGGTGGTGTGGCAGGCTTTCAGGATGAGGAGAGAGAAACACGGATCAGGATGTTGCAAGAATAGGGTCCCAACAATTCACCAACATTTCTGCAACCCATCAGCCTATCCTTCAGGGCGATGGCGTTCTGATGCTCAACACAACCCGCAAAGTCACAAAAAAAAACACAGGATGAGGCCCAGGATGGAGATCTCCTCAAGCCTCTACCCAAGCTCCGCACGCCTTGGCTGTCAGCTCCAGGGCACCCGCTACAGTGAGCTGCTCTCTTTGAGAGGCTCTCAGTGCTAAGGTCCATACCTTGGAAGCTGCTCTCAGTACCAGTGAAAGCTTCACATACCTTCACCAGGTCAGTCCATGTGGGACACAGCTTGCACCGTCTTTTCTCCCCGATGTCATGGAAAGAGCTTGGATCTGAAAGCTGGCAAAGCTACCCATAAAGCATCGCATCCAGAGTTCAGACCAACAAACTGATCAGGTGGTACAAAAGGCACATCCTTGAACCAACTTCAATGTGGTTTTTAAACTATATATACTCTATAACCATTACACACACACACACATATATATATATATATGTCGTGGGCGATACTTTTCATGTGCCGGAAAGATGTCGCCAGGATGCCCGGCTGAGTAAGTTCCATGACCCCAACACGCACGCAGCTGCACGGCTTCAGGCCTGATATCTATCACCTGACCCAGCTACTAAGACAGTGGTGTCGATGAGATGTAATTAGAAACTATTGAGGAACCTATGCTCATCCAAAGTTCACAAGTGCTTCATCATCGAATCATCCACAGGTTCAGACCGATCCCTGTCAACCTGGAACATCTGCACTGGTCCCAGAGCCACCCCAACAACCAGGCTGCAGCGATGGCGGCTTTGGCGGCAACCTCCTCGCCCAAGGCCAAGAGAGCCACAGCCTCGAGCTGGGGAAGCGAGAGCAACAAACCACATGCAACATGTACCAACAACTTCGAGGTGCATCATCAGGTACGTGAATCAATTCCAGGTGGTGCGCCCGAAAATGATCTTTAATGGGAATATGACCGAGATTTCAGCATGACCCCACCAGTGGGCCACACGTGAACACTTCACCACGGCCTCCAGTCCCACGTGCCCATCGTCCGGCTTCACGTGGTGCAAGAACCATGTGGCGTCCTCCACCGACCTGTGAGGCGGATCGGATCAAGCCCACCAATCATGTGGAGACACTCCAAGAATGTCCATCAGTGTTTTGGCGGTTGCTTCTATAGGTCACCTTTTTAAATCTCCATTCAATGAAAACACACAAAAAAAAAACATGAAGGCCCTGGTAGTGGCCCTGGTCCTTCTTGGCAAGAGCCCCCAAAAAAGCAGATCGAACTTGGTTGACTGAAAGAATGGTCCAAGGGACGGCCCAGGGTCAGATCAAACAAAAAGCCCAAGAACAAACGAACCAGGTTCTTCAGTTCGTGACCGGTCCCTTGATCCCCTGATTGGTTCAGTCACGGTTCGACCCGGCCTGGTTTAATGGTTAGAAACAGGAACCCCTGTTTAAGGTCACGACCGGAAGAAGCTGGAAACATGGACCCTGACGTCCTGGCCCCCTGGAAAATGGTTGTCCTCACCAGTTTTCAGGGTCTGAGCGTTGAGTCTTCCAGGGTGTAATGCAGTGTAAACGAATATGACATCCGATGAAAATCGTAGAGTCAGTCGTTCCAACAAGCCTGTAGCTGCAACTCTTCTTGAAGAGCATGTGGCCAACCTCGAAGTTCCCGGCCTTCCAGCGATCATTCGAGTCCCAAGCTTTGCGGAGAAGGGCACGACAATTGAAAAGTTTGGGCCACTCACTGGTTGAAAAACGCACCAACGAAAAATAGGAATGAGTGGGTTCAATCCTCTCAAAGTCAAGGTTGCAACATAAACATACGGTATCTGAAACCACCACCCAAATGTACTTTTTGTGTGCTGCTTTTGGGTGACTTCGCCACCCAAGGGCTTAACAACACCAAGAACGGTGGGCACTATTGCGAAGAATCGATATGGTCAATGATAATATACGATAATATGCTGGTTTCTCATTTCATTGCTAGCACCTTGCCGGAAAACGTAATTTAGCTTTGACCTCTTCAACAATTGCAAAGCTTGACCGACCATCATTGAAAAAATCAAGTGCAGCATGACAGCCCCCAAAGAAAAGGATTTCGTTACTGAATATTATATATTGTGTGCATAATATGCACAAACAAACAACCTTCAATCTGCATGTTGCGTTTGCCATCCCAACCCAACAACAGCCAGGCCTCAAACTGATCAGCTCCTTCTCTCCAAGCCAACATCCGCAAGTACAAGGCTTCCGCCCGCTCCACATCTCCCGCTGTCTCATGAGCTGCCGCTAAGCGATCCATCGCCTAAGCTTTCACGTGCAGGGGTCTTCTATTTCACACAGTTCACAAGATTGACGGCACTGACCAAGAATGTAAATTGTCCGCAGTCTGCGAAATCGCAAGCACTGCACTGCTGCAATGAAGGTTCCTAGCCGGGGATACAAGCCCCCGGCACTTTCATGTACAGTACTTTCCTCAACATCCAAGCTGGTGACGGTGATGTCAAAAGGATTCCAGCTCAACAAATCATTGACCCCAAAGCTGGGTCGAAGACGGTCGAACAAAAGGCCGAACATCTTCGAATGTGCAGCGTTTATGTCGCAGTCGTAGAAGACCGCTTGGAGCGTGGAGTGAGTCGTGAATCCCCTTCACACGACGTTGCGGATTATTTTCACGAAGACTCGAGTTGAATCTGAAATTATTTGGCAAATTCCACTATGACTCAGTGAAATTCCCAGGAGTGATCTGCCCAAATCCAAAAAAATATCTCCCAACAGGCCAGGAGTGTTGGGCTCGTGTGCAGTCAATATTTTTCAAACGATTCTGGGCGTAATTGAGCCTACAACCAGCGTGGTTCAAACAAGCGCATGTTTCTCCGTTTCAGTATTTGACTGAACCGTGCGTGAACATACATGAACATACCAAGTGTTAGTCGAGAGGAAAATCCGCAGTATCCGGGCATTAGACATGTTCACCAAGCTGGCCACAGATCGTTTGGTTAGTGGAGCCCTTCTTTCTTTTCCATGGTGACCTCCATAACTGATGTCAAGGATCCATGCATATAAGAGCTTCTTTCCCATACTGATCAAAGCTTGACCTCTTATATGCAAACAGAACATGTCAAGCTTTGGACATCAGTGGTTAAGCAGTTACCAGCTACCATTCTCGCACGCCCTCAGCGCAAAAGGCACAGCACTTCGAAGTGCCCATTCGGTGTAGCAGCTGTTGCCGCCACATTCTTGTCAGCTCCAGCCTCGAGCAACAACCGCACCAGTTCCAACTGGCCTTCGCTGGCAGCTGATACAAGTGGTCGCTCATTCGCTGCGTCAGCCGCAGAAACTGTCACACGAATTGTGCTACTTCCAAGTGCAGTCTGCGCCTGACCCACTGGGATCCGGCAAAGAAAGCGACCGAAACTTCACCAACTCATTCTCCAGCAACACGGCAGGACTAGTGCCTCCCAAACCACGGCCTCCTCAGGCACAAAGAAGTCCAGGATGATCAACTGAAAAGTTGGTAGCTGTCCATATATCCTCTCATGGCATAGGAGCCTCCTCATTTATGTCTTTCTCCCCTTGAACCATGCCAAGACACCGCCCTCCAAGCGTCCCCCGCATCTGTGGGGTCTTCCGGCAGCTCCTCAGGTGTGAAGGGGAGAATCCAGCACCAAACGTCACCATCTCATGTACCGGTACCACCTCAATGTTGATGGGAAATGGTGGGAAATGTTTCGCGAAGTTCTCCAAAATCTGCCAGGGCATCTTTGGCTATTCTCCAGAGGGTCGAACAAATCGACAGTAAACCAACACATACCAACACAAGGATCGTGGTGCTGTCACATCCCCAACAAGCTGTTTGCTCGCCCCTTTACCCGGTGGAATCATCGCAACCATCCAGCCTTTCGCCGGCATCGTTGTTTGGCATCGAGCTCAAATACGTAGCGATGTGCCCCATCGCGGCTTCATGTGAGCGACCGGCAAAACTAGGGGTCGTTTGGGGGTACGTTTAGAGCATGGTATCGTTTTTGGGATTGGTATCATTTTTTCAATCCATATGCATTTTTTTGGGGGGAGGTATCGTCTAAATGTAATTTGCTCTGGAAGGTGATCTTGCAAATGATGACTAGTAGCCGTCGTGTAGTAGTACTAGTAGTAGTAGTAGTAGTAGTAGTAGTAGTAGTACTAGTAGTAGTAGTCGGAGTAGTAGTAGCAGTAGCAGTAGCAGTAGCAGTAGTAGTAGTCGTCGTCGTCGTAGTCGTAGTAGTGGTAGTAGTAGTAGGAGTAGCAGTAGCAGTAGTAGTAGTCTTCGTAGTAGTGGTAGTAGTAGTAGTAGTAGTAAAAGTAGAAGTAGTAGTACTTGTGGTAGTAGTAGTAGTAGTAGTAGTAGCAGAAGTAGAAGTAGTGGCACGTGAGTGGGCAGGTGGTGTCTGAGGGGATACAGACCTATGAAGTGGGTATCGTTTGGTATCGTTTTTGGTATCGGTCTGAACCCATAATTGTTTCTCATCGAGGAAAAAGAAGGGAAATTTACAGTAGCAAAAATGAAATGGAATGTCCAGCTAGCATGGCAAACCATATGCAAAAAAACCTTGGACATACACTGTCTCGAGTGTCAACATTGTCAACAGGCAAAGATAGATTCCAAGATGTGTACCGTCACAAGGCTAGGTATCGTTTTTGGGATTGGTATCGTTTTTTCAAGGAAAATGCAAATTGCTCATTTTTGAAGAAACGTGAGCGCCGACCTTTAGCACTTTGCTCATGTCTTCATCGCGGTCCCGCCCAAACTGCACTGGTCCCGTCCACATCCCGTCTCCCAGAAAGCCCCGTCATCGCAGCCAAGGAGCGCCATGCTCCTGCAAAGAGCCTCGTTTTCGTTTTCGGGGCCGGGTGTGTGTGTTGGGTGCGCGAACGGCAAAACGATGAAACACGCGCGGAAGATGAAGAGAGTTGGAATCCATTAGCAGTCATGCACATCCATTGAAACGGGATTGCTGATTGCACTTAGCGCAGTCCGCACGGGATCTCCAACTAGTCAATCGGTTGTGGTAGAATTCACCAGCCTTTGGAGCACTCTGCCACCTCTAAATGCCTCTTCCAAAGCCTTTACCACCCGGTAGCAGCTACACCCATGTATACTTGCTGCTCGCGCTAATATATCAAAACACGCCGAACCGCATGATGTTCAGCCCAGCAGCTCCGGGTTTGTTCATGGCAGCACTCCTTGGCCTTGCGCGCCAGTGGAATCGCATTTTGGAAGTCGCCGGCTTTGAAGCACCGAAGCGCTTCGGCCAGGTCCTGCAGGGTCCATGATGAAAGGGTCCACCAGTGCGGGAATGGAAGGACCGACATGGACAAACTACTGTTGAAGGAACGCATCCTTCACCATTCAGTTCATAGGGAAAACATGGGAAAACCGACCAGCATGACAGGTGTTTGGGGGATGGTTTGATGGAGCTCCAGGTGGTGGATGAGATCATGTTCTTCTGGTGGGTGTCCTACTCGAGATTTCTTCCAATCGCTGGGTTCATCCGCGCACTTCAGGTTCCCTGAAGATCCTCACAACCGCTGTGAGCCATGGCGGAGCGAACCAAGTGCAGACCGGACCTCGTATGACTGACGACGATCGTCCAGTCGACAAAACAGATCGAATCCCAAACACTCCATGAGACTGCCAGAGATGCCTACATTGGGGTGGTTTGGGGGGTCAATGTATATGCCATACATGGAGTGTATGGGAAAGATCGTCACTTACATCATCGAAAGCTTTTCAACCGTTCAAAACGGGGCCCTCAACCGGCCCAAGCCGGTAGCCACCTCAACCGGAGCGAAACAAGTCCTCTTGGCCGAAGACCTCCTCCGGCATCTTCTTCACCTGCTGAGTGGCTCCAACAGTGTGGGTGGCACTTTCAAGTCGAGCGGTGCAGGTTTGCCTCACCCTATGTGTAAAGAAACCAGCCTTGGGAAGCGGACATCCTCAGGTCCTGACCTTGATGGAGGGGCATTCTGGCTAATATTATCAAATATTGGTTGACAACGCCAATGGTCGAAACCGGCCAAACTCTCCCCTCTCTCTCTGTGCAAATGTCTATCTGCACAGTCTAAGATTCCGAACGTGTTGCAACATCTGGCGCTTCAGGATGACATGAAACGAATGAAAGGGAATCTTCAATAGGCTGCCTCTGCAGTCTCCTCTGGCGCGACGGGACTTGGCCCTCGAGACAGCACTGGCGGCTGCGCCTGACAAAGAAGAATCCACAAAGAGCTGAGTGGAAAGCCCCAATCCCGCAAAAAGGTGTATGATATATAATATATATATATATACCCTAGGGTTCCAAAGTATATTAAAACAACATACCTTTGGCAAAAGAGGGTTTCACGTTATTACCAAACGTACTTTCGGGATTCACGATGATTCACGCTTGTTCGCCCTCGATCTTTTTTGGTCTGCTCCAAACCATCCAAGCGAAGTTCACCTCTCCGTTCGCGTCCTTATCCAAAGATTGACATCAATGGATTGATTAACCAACTCATGTTTGCAAGGTTAAACTCGTTTTTGAAGCATCATCTCTCCAAATCATTCCAAGATTCCGCCTTCGGGAGAGACAATGCTTCATAGCGCGCAGCCTGCGATTGTTGTGCGTTCTTTGTGTCAAGTGATTTCAACAAAAAGCCGCATAGAGCACAGTGCAATGCAGGGCCTCAATTTGGTACATTTGAGGAGCCAATAGTGTCGTGTTCTTGTGTGGGCCCGGGCCATGATGCCTTGGACCCAAAGGCAAGCCCAGGTTCCCTCTTAGGAGAATTGCTGCCATCACAGCATGCCCCAAACAAACCACAACAATCAGTTATTGCAAGGCACCCTTGACCCATCGCATCGAATCTTCATCACAATATGTGTGATGGAACCTTGGGTTGGATCCTTAGCTAAAAGGCTACAAGACAGCACCAGGCACATTTCGCACTCATCACATCATCTTGCAAAGTCAAGTTTGACACCTCACAGTGTAGGAAGACACCAACTTACAATATCCAAGATACTGTACTTTTTCACATCCTTGCAAATATGGATCAGCACCTTACAGGAAGCCCCATCAACAAATTCAAAGCGGAAAGGTGCATGCATTCAAACTTTGTAATGCACGTTTTCTGTTCATCAGACAAGCTGCATGGATTTTTGGTTTCATGAGCCACCGGGATAGGCCAAGTCTGCGCCAAGCAAGGGGTGCATGCACAAAGAACCAAAGGAAGAGAAAAAGATAGATGACAGGTTGACGAAAAGGTTGAGCTAGCAGCTAGCCTGATGTGTTCAACGCACAGCGCCGTATACATTTCCACAAACCGGATGCCAGCATTGTGAAGTGAATCTGCAACATGACTGGTCCTGAGGCCAAAAGTGGTGTTGCAGAGAGGCATCCCTGATCAGTTCATTCCATATGTATGGACTTCCAAACCCAAGGTATATACCCTTCACACATGCTTTCCATATATCAGCATTTAGGAATCCCAGGGTATATAATTTGATGTAATTTGATCCGCCCAACCAACTTTAAAGCTGCCATGCTTCAAAAAGCGGCCGTTGCTCTCCATGATCGTGAAGAACTTCGAAAGATTGCTCCTTGGCACGACTGCTGCACTGGGCTGGAAGTTGGAAACCAACGGATGTTACCAGGGATTCCAAACTAGTAACTAGTAATACTAGTAAGCGGTCAATCTCTCTGTATGCACACGATGCTACATGGTTGATCCCAGGTATACGGTCCACAAATCAGAAATGGTTAACCAAGTATCATCGCAACACTGGTGAGCACTAGAAGTTGATTGTCCTGGTTGTTCTGCACAACATCTAGCAAGCAGTGGTTGAGCCACATTGCTATGAGCCTGCCATTGTAAGCCTTGGCAGTGAGAAGGATCTCGCCTGTCTTCTTTTTTACCTCAGCTAGAAGCCAATCTAGAGGTTAGCACAATTCCTGTGAAGAACCTAGACCAGGGCTTGCAAACAAAGCAATCCAAATCATTCCAATAACTCCAATAAAAGTTGTCCAATGCGTTGGAAAATAGGGAGGACAAAAACCATCACTGGAACATCCAAGTGACCATTTTTTCAACAAACGGTGGTTGGCTATGCCTGATACGTCGAGTGCGGCAGTACGACTGAAAATCCCGGTACGCAGCGTCCAATTGGTCACTGAAACTTCCTGGGCCGAAGTATTGGATCTCAGCCAAGAGGACCCTCAGGGCAAGACTGTGTATCACAGCCAATCAAGTTCAAAACTTGTGGTTTAGTAGGATGGTGGTGTGCCCGAAGTATTGCCACATAACGGAACTTTCTCCAAAAGCAGCCAAAACACAAGCTCCCACCATTCGCGGCAAAAGCTAGGCCCAAATTCAAAGTGTGCATAGTGCACCATCGCAGCAGCGAGGGGTGCTGAAACATTCGGAGTGTCAACAATGGGCCTCAGTGTTGAACCGATGTCACGTAGCCATTACACTATTCGTACTACCATAAGTTGTCATTCCCATCTTGGATAAAAACCTTCAAACAAATGTTTCTGGCAATCACTCGGTTCCCCATATCCTCCACCAAAGGGAAATCCTGGAGAAAGCTTCATTGTTTTGGGAAATCCAGGGCACACAAGTTGTTCTCTTTGAGCCTTTGTGAGATAAATGCTTGCAGTCCATATTCTGCAGACTCCCAAGTGCAGTCATCCCCATGCGCCCAGTACAAATGATTGTCTTTGGATTGTGCGGGGCACCGGAAACACACTTTGGTAGCCTGCCAGCTGGCCTTGGGCCTGAACACTTGGACATGCCATTCCCAGTCGCCGCGACACTCTGTCAGCGCCCACCTTGCACCAGAACTTGATAATTGTTGGCCTCCATGGTCTCGCTCACGCTTTGTGAGCAGGGGTTTGCCCCCAGGTCGAGACAAAGGATGCACTCCTTGAGAAGCATGTTCCAAAGACCAAGCAATACGTCTCCAAAAGGCGTTGAGCGTTCGATTCTTGTAAACAAGGTGGTGTGGGCAGCTGAACAAGCACCACCTTGAAAATCGTACCGACCGTGGTCGGAAAAGGCAAATGTTCAGAGTCACTGCCATTACCTTTTCAAATTTGTTTTGCGACCACAACCTTGCACTGTCGCCGTGCAAACCGATGGGGATGTGCTCTTCAGTTGCCGGACATCCTATCGCCCAGGGCTCCCGCACTTGCCAAGCATGACGCCAATATTCTGCCACGTCAGATTGACGCAATTCAATCTTAACTTCGTTCCACAAATACGCAAGAATCTCATGCGGGTGAAGGATTGGAAATTGCTGGAACTTGATGCGACCAGTCTTCTCATCTTTTACAGGAACTTTGACTTGATGGATTTCCTTGGGTCAATCTTGCATATCATAGCTCTGAATTTGGACTGCACAGATTTCCCAACAAATGGTTTCGAAGTACCGTTGATCATAAGGCCAATATCCCAGATCATCCCGCTAATGTGAATTATAAAGGATATCCTGGTTCCCATTATCCAATATTTATTCAGAATACTTGTGGGATCTGGTTGTGGACCAACACTTTACTGCTGGAACGTACGTGGTGATTTCAATATTGGTCTAGGGGTTAGTTTATATTCGGTTAGATGGCTAGCTTCAGTTTTCTATTGTCATCCTAATCCTGTGTCTTTAAAGCTTCAGCAACATTGCCAATTTCCACACCTACCCAGGCCCTTTAGAGCCAGGATGCAATAGGGATGTCAGCGTGCCGCCAAAAATCTCTCACATCATTTTTCCCAGAGCGTCCACCAAGTTGAAGTACATCAGGGTGGCAAGCATCTCCACATTCCTGGGGCCAATGCGTTGGAATTGCTGAGCATGGGTAGTTAAAGATATCAAGCTTTGCTCAAGAAGCCCCATGCACTCACCATGACAAGTGATTGCCGCCCAAGGATCCTCAACTTGATTTCGGATGCGAGACATGGCTTTGCCGACGGAAGTGGCCTGGTCATGTCAGAAGATTTAGGGGTTGGGTGATTGCAGAACAGGCCGAATGATTGAATGATAACTAATGATTGGGAGCCCGGAAAAGATGTACACTCAGGTTTGTCAACAAACTATGACTTGGCAACGCAGGTCTGGGAACCACCCCAAATTGTCCACACTTACGAAGGATACAGTGCAAGTTGGCATGACCTCCAAAGTTTGAGGCATATTTTGATTGGTTCTGGCGGGGTTATGGTGAGGTATTCCATCTCAAAGATGCACCTCTTGAATTGCAAACCTCCCCAACAATCCACCATATTTCTGCCAAAGAACACCAGATGCAACATCATCCATGTGCCCATGCAGGGTGATCGGAGCACGGGCATCACAAAGACCTGTGCAGAGGGTGAGGCTTCCAGAGAAAAAATTGTCAGGTGGAACACTCGTCAGAATGGATCACAAAAATACCAGCTCAAGAGCTTCCACGGAAAACATAATGGTCTTCACCAGTGACCCCAAAGAAATGTTCTTACTTCAGTCGGTCAAAAGTATAGTCTTGGAATTCTGGGGTGAATATGTGTGTGCAAGGGTTGTCATTCCAAACCAAATGTTGTTTGCAACTTTTTTGTCAACGACGGCGGACACCAAGTTAGGACGCATTCCGAGGTCGAACACTAACGCAGCTGGTGTCTAATCAGAGCCACGAATGTTGACCTCACAGCGTCACCCCCAAGATTGTAGGCAAGTCCTGGTCTTGCCAATCCACAATATTCCAAAATTGCGCTCTCGTGTAGGCCAATGGTTTCCAACCAAGTCAATGAAGGATTGTGCAAAAATTGTATACGCTTTTAAAGCTGGTGAAGACACAGGCGAATGAAGTAGACACAAGACTACACTTGGCAATGGACAGTTTCTAGATTTTTCTGGCCATTCCTAGCGCAACCTTGGCCTACTTGATATTGTAGGCTTGAAGGCACTGGGTGAAACCACTCCCAGCCGCATCGCTCTTGTTGGCATCCTCCAGCACTGATCCCAGTGCATCCACCTGTAGTGGGATGAGGGTGGAACATGTCAGTGTTGAGATACAAAGTCGAATTACAATAAAGCATGCAAATCACCGTATCATGTTCTAGATCCTGGTCCCTTGAATGCATGAAAGTGTTCATTGAATCCGTGCAACTGCAACCATCAAAGGTGAGTCATGATTGGGCTGTGCCTTGGCGGCATCGCAGGATTTCTGCAAGCGGTCGCGGGCACTCTTCATTTT